ACTTAAATTTAATTAAATTTAAGTAAACCAGGCAATTAGGGGGAAAGCCAGTTTTCAATTATAAAGAAAAGTGGTGGGAGAACTTACAGAAATATTAAAGGCATAGGAGATTTTGTTCACAAGAGAAGTCAGTGTTAAGGGTAGACTTTTCTTTAAAGGAATGAGCAAAAAGCCCGGCCAGCATAGCTCAGTGGTTAAGTGTTGACTTATGAACCAGGAGATCATGGTTTGATTCCCAGTCAGGACACATGCCAGGGTTGTGGACTTGATCCTCAGTATGGGATGTGCAGGAGGCAGCCAATTAATGATTTTTCTCTCAGCATTGATGTTTCTATTTCTCTCTCCCCCTCCCTTCCTCTATGAAATCAATATATATATATAAAGGAATGAGAGAAAAGAACAGAGAAGCAGAAAATCAGTGCTTAACAGGCATCATTTTCAGTAAGGACCGAAGGAGGCAGGTGTCTGGGAGATAGGCTGTTTCTGCATATTTGCCAATGAGAAGAATACTTCCTGCCTTGGGTAGGGATTTTCTCACTAAGCACACTTCTGGCCTCTTCTCTGCCCCTTTATTCCCTCATTCCCTGGAGAGGTAGAATGAGGAATCTGATCTTTAAATCTGGGGATTACTGGGTGTGCTTAGCTCTGCCACCCTTAACTCCTGATAACAGGTCTGTAGATTCTGAGTTCTTTCAATTCTTCCATGTAGGGAGTTGCACTCTGGAAACCACCTTGAATTGTAACTGCTAGTAATTTCCACCTCATTGTGGGGTTCAGTGAACAGCCCCATTTACCTCTTACGCTAAGCTCTATCCTCAACCTCAGCAATTCACATGACACTGTTATTCCTACTAGAGACCTGGTGCACAAATTCATGTACCAGTGGGGTCCCCCGTCCTGGCCTGCAGGATTGGGCTGAAACCGGCTCTCCAACATCCCCAAGGGGTCCTGGATTACAGACCAGGCTGAGGGACCCCACCGGTGCATGATCGGGGCCGGGGTGGGACTGAAAGAGGGTTCCAGGGCATGTCTGGCCCATCTCGCCATCCCCCAGCAGCAAGCTAACCTACCAGTTGGAGTGCCTGGCCCCTGGTGGTCAGTGCACGTCATAGCGAGTGGCTGAGCGGCCTTAGCATATCATTAGCACATTACGCTTTGATTGGTTGAACGGATGACTGGATGACCAGAAACTTAGCATATTAGGCTTTTATTATATAGGATTAGCCATACTTTTGGTTCATATTTGTTCAGAATCCAGCCTTGTTGGGGACCTGCTCAGAAATTCCTAGTAAATAAAGGTAGAAAAAGATGGAGTAGAGAAAATTTCTATGTCCTAGGAGCTGATCAGTGCCAAACAGAATTGTGATCAATGAGACTAATAATAGGCTAAGTAACCTGCCCATGGGGCCACCGCTGATAAGTGGCAAAGCCAGTGTTTAAATCCAGGCAGTCTAGCTCTGGAGTAAAACATTAGAAACACTATCCTCTACCACTTCTCTCTGAGGTATGCTTCCCATATGAGGGCCCACTACTGAGAATAATAAACCATTTTATCTTTTTTAAATGTCTAAGTAATGATGAATATATTCATAAAATTTATTTTGTCCATTTTTTGAAGATAAAAATGAAGACTATATCACTCATTACTTTGAACATATCTAATCTATATGAAAGCAGAGAAAGGTCAATCTAGATATAGATGGAGCCTGCCAGCTGTTATAGACTCATGATACTGTTATGGGTAATAATATAGTTATAGCCATATGTTCTCTCACCCCCCCTTCCCTTCAGGGCAGTTACTTGAGAACATGAGACTGTGTAGACTCAGTTCTATTTCCAGTGCCTCACTTCCCATTCTGACTCGTTAGTCCTCTGCAATCAGATTTTTGCCTCAATCACAAAATGATCCTGGCAAAGTCATCAAAGCCCTTCTAATTATAGCTGGACTCCGCAGCCCTGACTTTACTCGACTTCTCCAAGCAGCCAGCACTATTAACTAAGCCCTTCTTTCGGAAACTCCCTCCTCTTGGCTCTTGACAATACTCTCCAGGTTCTCTTACTTCCTCAAGGACAGCCACTTATCAGGTTCTTTTCTGGTTTCCTTTCCTTCCCCTATTCCTTATGCACCTGGGTTTCCTGGGACTCTGTGCTGCACCCTCTTCCACTGGCATCCTCTTGCCTACTCACAGTGCTTACCTGCCACCTCTGCCTGGATACTCCCCATCCCACCATCTATTTGGCCTACAGTTCTCTTTTAAAGAGGTCTCCACCCAATGGCTACTGGTTATTTGTTTCTAGGTGTCCCGCCAGTGCCTCAACAACATAAATTAAGTAACAAGTCTCCCTGTCTTTAGAACTGTGCTTATCTAATACATCCTCATAATTGTGTGGGAGGGATCATGACAAACTCAAATCTAATTATGTTCAGATGCCATCACCAAAGGAATACAATGTGGTACACATAGGTATTCTACAATTTATGTCTTGCCTCTCTCTCTACCTTTTTCTCTAGCCACAATCTGTCCTCTCTATACCAATGGCAAAATATTCTTAGCCAGACTGAACTTTTTAACTACTCCATGAAAACACAATGTTATTTCAAGCTTCCTGCTTAGAAGCCCTTCTCCAGTCCATCTGAGGAATAACTATGCATCTTTCAAAGTTCAACTTAGAAATTTCTTCTTTTATGAAGCCTTTGATGACCAACTGAAATGAAAGTAATCATTCCCTCCTTTGGGTCCATCTGAACTTGGACAGAACTGTGAACCCTCTGGGGCAGGGGCCATATCTTATTTATGATTAGCAATGCCTTAAATATAGAAGTAAGTTCTCATTAAATGCTTGAATAAATGCCTAAATCTCCAAAAGTGGGTAAAGGTAATAAAGGTAAAAATCGTTTTCGTTCATCACATTAATAACACACTTTACTGGAATGATCTATCAAGATGCAGAAGTCCACTGGAAAAAGTTTATTTTCCCAGCTAGAAGATGGGAGAATAAACTTTAAGTTATGCATAAGATAATATTGCAACTAAAGTTTTTAAGGTATTTCTTTCCATGAATCAATGGGCTTAGGCAATAACATCCATGAAATGCCAAAGATTTTTTTTGTCTTTAGTTTTCCACTTGGTCTGTTTAAACAGATGTAGTCTTCATTAAGTTTTCCTTTTTAAAGAACTCATCCTCCAGACTCTCAAAGGTCCAGCACCGCATGCACAATTGTCACCAGCGCCATTCCTGTGATTTTTAGCTCATACCAGGCTGATCAGTGATGGCGAACCTATGACACCCTATGACACGCGTGTCAGAGGTGACATGCGAACTCATTTTTTTGGTTGATTTTTCTTTGTTAAATGGCATTTAAATATATAAAATAAATATCAAAAATATAAATCTTTGTTTTACTATGGTTGCAAATATCAAAAAATTTCTATATGTGACACGGCGCCAGAGTTAAGTTAGGGTTTTTCAAAATGCTGACACGCCGAGCTCAAAAGGTTCGCCATCACTGCTCTAGATGTTGGTTTTGATAGAACCTCAGTGAATGCTTGTCACTGTGTTAACATTCTAAAACTTTTCACTCATTTCTATTTATGGGGAACAGAAAGGTGCAACCAAATGGGATTTGGCCAGTTGAAAACTCAATCTTCAACAAGCATAGTACACTGTACAACATTCCATAATCTCCCTCTTATTAAAAATAGTTGGCTGATACTGACATGATTTTCAATGAGATCTTTATACTGAGGCTTTCATAGCCATGATACATGACCCCCTTCTTTAAGTATAAAATGAAGTGCAAATCTTCCCCAATGAGCCCCAGAAGAATAAAAGCCTTTGGACATCTCTTCAGAAAAAAAAACTTTTAAAAATTATTTCACAATAATAATCATTGAAGATTTCTAGTCTTTGTATGCTAGTTTTATGAAATCACTGAGCATCTTTATGTAAAAAAAAATAATAATAACTACATTGAACAGGCTTCACATAGATTAAGGACCTATCAGATTATCCTATTCAATCTTCACAGCAATCATACAAATTAAATAGTTATATTTTATGAATTTAAAAACTAAGGCTCAGGGAGACTAAGTGACTTGTTCAAGGTCAATAAGTTAATTTAAAAAGTCAAACTCAAGATATTTGGTTTAAGGTTGTACATTTTTCCATAAATCATACAGTTTCTGAACTTTAAAAGAAACTGAACCAGGTGCAAGATCTTGGTCTTTCCCCAACATTTGTTTTTGGATGTTTGCTCAGTTACATGATCTCAGTTTCTTCTAAACTTATATTCACCATCTATTAAATATAATTCTAAAATATTCTTGACTCTCAATAACAATAATACTTGTCACAGAAGTATTTGCCCAAGGTCCTTTCCTAGTCAGCATTCTGGTCCTCAGATTCATCTTTATTTAATTTTACTCTCTGCAAATGCAGACATGAATCATCAATTTTCCATTTTAGTGTCCATAAGCAATATTTAATTTCTATAAAACATCTTCAAATTGGATATACAAATAGCATGATGAGGCAAAACATGTTCATTGCCAACAGTCCAAAAGGTCTAGATTCAAATCCTGGCTTGGCACTTGTTAGTTCAAATTCTTGGCGAGTTCCTCACATTCATTAAGCCTGCTTCTTCATATTAAGAAAGAATTTTACTATTGACCTTACTAGAATTTTTTGAGTACTGAAAAAAGTAATGTTTGCAAAGATCCTAACATAGTACTTGCCTAAGGTAAACAAAAATTATCAGGTGTAGGTAACATTATAATTGGTATCATTAGGTTGAATATATGCAAATATATTGTGAATAATCAAGAACAGATGGCAAAGGGCACGGGACACTGATGGAACTAAAACTGGGACTTTAAAAAAATAGTCTTTCATTTAAATCTTAGGGTATTTCTGGGGAAGTAGCTGGTTCTCTGTCTTATATACAAGAGTCATGAAACCCCCTCCCCCATTAGTTGTGTTCTGACATTGATTATTCTGACCTGATGCTAGCAGACTTTGCTTTCAAGTCATTCCACCTTTGGTTCATATCATCGAGTCGATGTTGAAGCATAGTAGCCTCTTCGGAATTTCCCAGTGCTTTTACCATTTTCTGCCTGTTCCCATCAATACTTTTAAATATGTCATTGTGGGCATCAATTTCCGCCTGGATGTCCTAAAGATAGAAAAGCAGAGATAATGAAAATGTTACGTATTAGTGTCATCATTACTTGGGATTGCTATACAGAGTTTTATCTTATATTTCATAGATGAGGTGTATTTTTTAAAGAAAAAATAATTTCATCTTAAATGATAACAAATTCAAGTGTTTCCACAATTCTTACATTAAAAATAATAATCTTTAAATCTTCAATACCTTGATTCCGAAGTTCTTAAAAATAAAATACATTATAATCTTAATTTCATGAGCTAGTCCTATTCAATCAAATTATTTATCCCCTTTATATATGGGTAAAACTCCCCTCAAAATATGAAGTTTTACAAAGGTTGCTGGATGTTACATCCTTTTAATTGCTGGTTTTCTACAAATTTATTAATTGTTTATTCTTTCAATCTAATAAAGTTTATTTCTACAATTTTTAAAGAACATTTTCATAAAAATGTTCTGTTTAGGAAATAAAAACTAATTGTAAAGTAATATTTCTCCTATTAAATAGATAATATTTTGTTTATTTTTATAAAGTAAATTTTAGTGTAGTTTAAATAAAATAAAAAAATTATTATAAATTAATAATAAAAATTTGTTAAGACTTTGAAGAAGCATTTTGTCAATATGGATCAAAAAACCTTAAAACTGTTGAAATTGCCCAGCTGGTAGTTGAGCACTGACTTATGAACCAGGAGGTTACAGTTCGATTCCCGGTCAGGGCACATGCCTGGGTTGCAGGCTCAGTCCCCAGTGCAGGGCATGCAGGAAGCAGCCAATCAATGATTCTCTCTCATCATTGATCTTTCTATCTCTCTCTCCCTCTCCCTGCCTCTCTGAAATCAATAAAAATATAATTTAAAAAATCTGTTGAAATTATGTATCCTAGGAATATTTATGTATAAACACATCTATTACATTGATTGTTTTAAAACTGAAAAGAAAGTGGAAACTATCAAGCACTCCCACTTCTGGGAATATATATTCAGAAGATATGAAAACACTAATTCAAAATTGTATCTGTACCCCTGTGTTCATAGCAACATTATTTACAATAGCCAAGACATGGGTAAAACCTAGGTGTCCATCGGTGGAGGAATGCATAAACTAGTTGTGAGATATATATGTGGGAATGTTTTCTATCCATAAAAAATGAAGAAATCCTACCATTTGTGACAACATGGATAGACCCTGAAGGCACTATTATAAGTGAAAGAAGTCAGACAGAGAAAGACACATACTGTACAATCTCATTTGGAATCTAAAACAAACAAACTCAGAGAAAAATCAGACTTTTTGCCATTACCAAAGGTGAGAGTGGGGAGAGGAGAAATTGGAGGAAGATAGTCAAAGGGTACAAGCTTCCAGTTATAAGATAACTAAGTACTAGGTATGCAACATACAACATGATGACTACAGTTAACATTGTTATATGACATATAGAAATGTTAAGAGAGTAAATGCTAACAGTTCTCATCACAAAAAGACTTTTTCCTTTTTTTCTTTTCATTTCTTTTCATTGTATCTATATAAGAAGACAGATGTTAGCTTAACTAATTGTGGTAATCACTTCACAATATCAGTAATTCAAACCATGATTCTGTATACCTTAAACTTATACAAAGATGTATGTCAATTATTTCTCAATAAAAATGGGAAAAAGTGGAAACTATTATAACACATTAATGGTGATATAATAATCAAGTTTAAAAATGGAGGATGCAAAACTATATGTTATGTTAATTTTAAAGTTTGTGTTTAAATCAGCATATGTACTTCTATATCATTGCACACACATACATTTAAAAAACTGTAAGCAATAAGTCAAAATAGTATAATTTCTGTAGAAAAGGATCAATGATGATGTTAGTGTTCATCAAAAGTTAGGAAGAAAATCAACATCCAAAAAGTGATCAAAGAAAAGGAAATCAGCATACATTGTTGTTGTTGTTGTTGTTGTGTGTGTGTGTGTGTTTTAATTTAACATGTGATGGCATATTTACTTGGACAAATATATCAACAGGACCTAAAGGCAGAAAACTATCTTAATGTCTTCTGTATCCTTCACAGTCTCTGAGCCTAAAATGAAAAGATACAAAGAGATAACACATAGGTAGGTAGGTAGGTAGGTAGATAGATAGATAGATAGATAGACAGACAGATAGATGATAGATAGAAGACAGACAGAAATTATGTATCCTAGGAATATTTATGTATAAACACATAAGATGCATAAATGCATGAATGAATGTATGAATAAGTTCATCTTGACTGATTGGCATATCAGCCACTCTAGCCCCACCAAAAAAATCAGATAATTAAAGAATTATAATGGAATATAGTAATAATTTTGTTTCATGTCTTCATTTAAAAATTTTAACAAGGGAAACTTAAAATTATTTAGAAGCCTGCATTGCAAAGTCCTGCCTAAGCTTTTCACTGGAAATTTAGAATAACAAGCAATTAATGAATCATGCTCCTTCACAGATCACTGTGCAATGATTCACTGGCGTTTTAAAATCAAGATGCCAGCATGTGAGGCTGTCAGATTATGACCCTGATGTAGCATCAAATGCTAAAGTAAATTAAAGTTTCCAAGAAGTAGGGTTTACTCTCACTGCTCAGCTGGGAGGCTTTCTCTAGAAAGACTTACCTCTGTCCCCTGAAAGCCTTTCTGAACATTACACAGCACGAAATGGTTACTGATAATTAGTTATGGGAATGCAATCCACCTAGAAGCACAAAGCAATGTTCTTCCAATCATTTAACATAAGCCAGTCATGTGCACAGAGGGGCCACAGCAAGGTATCCAAGCCATTGAACTAACACTTGAGAGCAGAAGAAGTATTTTAAAGATTCACTTGTGAGGCTTGAAACCTATCTTCAAACAATGTAAACAGGAGTTTAGAATTAAAGGACTAATGCTTTTCTCTAAGTCAAAGCACCATCAAAAGCCTAAAATGCACCATTTCTGAAGAATCTTCCAGAAGACAATTACAAAAGCTCACTGATCAACAGTTAGTCTTTCTGAATACAACACCCACTACCCAGGACAAAACAAATTCACAAATAAAGGAAAACATTGATGTACTTGCTCACTTCTTTAATCATTGATATTTTAATACCAATTTTGCCCTTAACCTGACATATCTTTAATGATACAACCCATAGACGTATTGTAAGAAAACACATCATAATGTGTATCACATACATTTTACTTCTTTAAAATGTCCTCTAATCAAGTAGTGGTCCTAATTATGTAAGCAAAACTATTTCTTTAGATTATGATAAAAAGGACTGCTTGAACCCTCCGACAGGAAACAGACTTAGAGAGTACCACCAGGAAGACTTCAACAACTAAGTTGGTAATAGAATGGATTCATCCTCTCCGGGCCTTGTTGACATAATTTTGGTTTATTTTTGCATGGCATATTTACCTAACCCTACACGGACACAGCAATGTTTTCCCTGATGGAGTCCTGACCCCTTTCCTGAAGGTGAAGAAGTAAGGTCAACAACTTCCCGACTGTATCCCAAGGCGCAGGCTAGATCAACAACGCTAACCACTCAGGGAAAGGAAGTCTACTGTTCCTTGTAGAATAAGACCAGACTTCAGAAACAGTTAGGACTGTTGATCAGGAATCAGAAGGATTATGGCCAGAGTTTTAGGTTTTGAAAACAAGGAATTATAACATTAAAAAAATAGGTATTACCTAAAAAATAATACAACAATCAGATAATATCATCAAGGATCATTAGTGATATGTAAATATACTTTGAGACAGTTTCTAAGGCTGCTGGTGAGTTATTGCAGTTAATTAGTCAATTTATAATTAAAATTAATTTATTTGCTTCAATGAATTATCCAATCAATAATTGATAAGCTACATTTTCTTTCAACAATTAATCTCATGGGTTTTAACCACTCTATTAAGAATTATGAAATTGCCACTTGGTCTGCAGTAGCATTTATTAAGAAATCAATACCAGTATTGTTTTTCCCATTTCCTGTGATTATAAATATATGTTAGACAACAGGGCAGAAAAAAAATTTAAATTACTAAGTGGAACAAGCTTACAATTAACTGCACTTTAAAGATAATTTGAACAAGCCAACTTGCAATGACAAATAATCAATAAATAAACAAATTACATTTTAAATTCCAGCATAGCAAACACTGCTATTGACAAAAATATTTTTCACAGCAAAGAGTTCCAAATTCTTGACTCTATACCAATTGTTACTAAAACACACTAAAATACTAGTGAATTAAAATACAGCAGCTTTCCTTCCAAGGTGCACTTTATATATCAGGTCTACTCTGCATACAAACACAAGTTATTAAATGTTTCATGTGGCAAACTATTGCCCCACCTTAATTATCAAAACCAGATCGTATATTCAAAACTGAACAGGCCTGAAAACCTAGTCAAGGATTCTTCATGTTAAATGTTTAAATCTACATTCGTGGGGCACCCGCTCCTCTATGCCTCACCTGTGTAAAGGAGTTCTTATTGCCCAGAAAGCTCTCAATTTCTTCCCCCAACACACACACACACACACACACACACACACACACACACAATCTCAGTTATTTCCTTATTTTAAACTCATCTCTTAAGTCCCAGCTTAAATGTAATTTCTTCAGGAAAGACTTCACCACACCCCAATTAAACTGGGGCTACCTGTATTCTTATAACTCCCTTTACTTTGCTAAATCACCTATCTGTACTAAAAAACTTCCTTATTTAATGTCTGAGTTCTCCCACCAGGCTGGAAGCTCAGTGAGTTTGGGAAGTCTCTCTGTTCTCCACTCCATCCCTGAACTCAGCCCAGTGCCACTTCACAAATATTTACTAAACACTGAATGAATGAATAAGCCCTGAAATTGGAAACTTACAGTGTCTTCAAGGACACATTTAAATATTACAAGTTGAGCAGTAAAATATAGCTTCAAAGTATAATTTTAAGTTAGTTATCATAAAGGAGGTAAATGCCTTGAAGGAAA